TATTACTGGAAATGTATTTCGACTGATGGGGCCAGCAATGGCGGTCAAAGCCTTTAGCCTCCTGAAGAATTCGCACACGTGGCTGATAATCCCTCCTAGGAATAGTATTCCGAAAAGTTACAAAGAGGTTCTGCTCGCGCCATCCTATGGGATGAGGCTGAATAAGTCTGTACGAGAACCTGGTAGGTCTTTGGACGCATGGTGGGCGAAACTCTAGTACTGGTGTGCCTAAGTCACAAAACGTTTTGACAACTTATCGCACTTGAGGGGGCACAAGCGATATCGGTGGAACCTGGTGCCTCATCGCCTCGATAGCGCCTTGCAAATAGGATGGAATATGGGTAGGGCCGGGTTCCGATTGGAACCCGTTAACAGGTTCTTACTAAGTAATAAACAGCATGTAACACTTTGAAGTAAAAAAAAACAATGGCATGATCTTCCGAGAATTCGTGCCGAACCAAGGTCTTGGAAAACAAAATTAGAGGTAAATAACAAAAACTTAACGCACCCCCAAAAGAACGCAATAGGCCTAAAGCATCAACGCAACCACACAATCATTAAAACAATCAACCAGGAAGTTTATTTCGGATATATTGTTGTGTACAATTTCTTTCTATGGGTGGCTTACAAATTCAAACACTATTTTCGATCGCACATTGCGTTTGCTTTTAGTACTAGTAGACGTGGTTAACGTGGAAATCGCACTATAGACTTATTAATGATCTATTAATCAATGAAGTATTGAAGGCTATGGAATATTCTATCCTCCAGATTATTAATACACTTTTCTCCTATAATTTCCATGAATGTGCTCCCTTAACTTGGGGTAAGGAATCATTTTCTAGTTATGGACATTCAGTATTCGGAGGCTTATCGACCGCGCACTTATAAATCCAACATAGACGTCAGGAGTTAGATTAAATATTTCCAAGCTTGGATGCATTTTCCTCTGAATTTCCATTAAATTGATTAAATTATATGAAGATGGCCACTGAAAATGAACTTCAGACGCCAATAATCTAGTACGAGCTGTCAAATGCCCCTCGTAGACCACCGTACATGACATTACACCTGTAAGTCCTTGTACTTTTCCTTTATAAGTGTGTACCAGTCCTGCATTTTTGTCAAATATACGGTGAATTTCGAGTTTGCACTTTTTCGAAATACACATGGTTCTTCCGGCAACACCCTCGTTGCGTGGTTCTACAGATAATTTGTGTTTTCTTGTATTTTACTGTATTGCCTTACTTGCCCGGCTAACGACAGTACTTTGGTGATTAATCTTGGGCTCAGAATCAACTGGAATGCCAGCGACTGACGATCTTTACGAGTTTGATTGGTCAACGTTGGCTTCAAACCTTGGTCAATCTTTCTTCCTTGCAAGTCAATTCACTGGCCATGGCAGAAGAAAAACGATAATAATAAGGTTTATTTGTAAAGCACATCTTCGGCGCCGTCAAAAACCC